CTCATAGTTCCCAATTTCAAAAGTTATTACACAGGTGGAGTAATCAAGACAGTTTGGTGCTGGAATATGGATAGGCATATAGATCAATGGAATAGAATTGAGACTCCAGAAATAAACCCTTATATTATGGTCAAGTGACTTTCAACAAGGATGCCAAAACAATTCAATAGGGAAAGGATCTTTTCAAGAAATGATGCCAGAACAATTGGATATCCACATGCAAAAGAATAAAGGACCTGTTCCTTGCAACATATATAAAAATTAACTCAAAACGGATCATAGACCTAAATGTAAGAGGTAAAACCATAACTTTTATAAGAAAACTTAGGAATAAATCTCTAATTGAATTCGGCAGTGGTTTGCTAGATATGACATCAAAAGCAAAAATGAGAAAAGAAAAAAATCGATATAATGAAAATTAAAGACTTGTGCTTCGGACACATCATGGTACATATATTTTCAAATCATATATCTGATAAGGGATTTGTATCCAGAATATAGAAAGTGCTCTTACAAGTCAATAAAAAAAGAAAAATAACTCAATTTAAAAATGGGCAAAAGATTTGAATAGACATTTTTCCAAAGACATACAAATGCTGAGCAAGCACATGAAAAGATGCTCAACATCATTAGTCATTAGAGAAATGCAAACCAAAACCATAATGAAAATGGATTTCACATCCACTAGGATAGCTGTAATTAAAAAAACGGACAATAACCAGTGTTGATGAGGATGTGGAGAAACTGGAACCCTCACACACTGCTAGTGGAAGTGCAAAATGGTGTAGCCATTGAAGAAAACAGCTTGGCAGGCCCTCAAAAATTAAATAAAAAGTTACCATATGACCAGCAATTCTATTCCTAGGTTCATACCCAAGAGAATTGAAAACAAAAGTCCACACAGAAAGCTGTACACCAACGTTCAAAACATTATTGCTCATAGTAGCCAAAGACGGGTAACAAGACAAATGTACAATGGAGTATTATTTGGCAATGAAATGGAATACTGATATATGATACAATATGGATGAAAATATTAACTAAGAAAAGCCAGAGACAAAAGAACACATATTTAATGATTCCATTTATATGAAATGTCCACAATAAGCAAATCCATGGAGACAGAAGTAGATTGGTGGGGCTGGGGCTGGATGAATGGAACTGGGAAGTGGGAAATGATTGCTCTGGGTACAGGATTTCTTCTTGGGGTGATGAAAATATTCTAAACTTGGTGGTGATGGTTGCACAACCAAGACTTTTGAGTTGTACGCTACATGGGTAAATTTTATGGTATGTGAATTATCTATCAATAAAGATGTTTAAAAGTGCATCAGAAGGAATGACTTTGGATTTTAGACATTTGTTTTAGTATCTGCATCTGTCTAAACACCACACCCACACCCACACCCACACACAGTTGACCCTTCAACGATGCAGGGGTTAGCGGTGCTGACCCCCATGCAGTCAAAAATCCACTTATAACTTTGGACTCCCTAAAAACTTAACTACTAATAGCCTACTGTTGGCTGGAAGCCTTACTAATAACATAAACAGTTGATTAACATATATTTTCAATGTTACATGTATTATATACTGTATTGTTACAGTGAAGTAAGCTAGGAAAAAGAAAACATTAAGAAAATCATAAGGAAAATACATATATAGTACTGCATTTACTGGAAAAAAATCTGCTTACAGGGGCACCTGGCTGGTTTGGTCGGTAAAGTATGTGACTCTTGATCTCAGGGTTGTGAGTTTAAGCCCTACATTGGGTGTAGAGATTATGTAAAAAAAAAAACAAAACACCTTTTAAGAAAAAAAAATCTGCTTATAAGTGGATTTACACAGTTCAAACTTGTGTTTCTATGTTGTTCAAGGGCCGACTGTATGTGTGTGTATATATAAAATGTGTATTATGCATGTATATATATAATAATGTATATATATGTGTATATAAACTTATAAGTCTTGACATTCTATTTTACACTGTCACTTTCATATTTGAGATTTTTCTGTTTTAGATGGATTTCAAGTATAACTCTGAGTTCAGGGCCTGAAAAAACAGCCAGAGGCTGAGTAATTATTATTTCTAATTTCCCCGTGTTTCCTCTTCTTAGTACGGTTTTATCATTTTTTTAGATTCTTTTTAAATAAAATGGCTGTTGGGGCAGTGTTACGGACTGATTTATGTTGCCCCCCAAATTCATATGTTGAAGCCCTAATCCCTAAAACCTTAGAATGTGACTCTATTATATGGAGATAGGGCCTTTAAAGAGGTGACTAAGTTAAAGTGAGGCCTTCAGGTGAGACTTAATCCAATTTTACTGGTGTCCTTTTAAGAAGTGGAGATTAGGACATAAAGAGAGGCAGCAGGGGCACGGAGGGATGAACATGTGAAGAGGCAGCTGCAAGCCAAGGAGGCCTCCGAAGAAACCAAAGCTGCCAGCATCTTGATCTTAGACTTCTAACCTCCAGAACCGTGAGAAAACAAATTTGCATTGTTGTTTTTTATAAAGATTTTATTTATTTATTTGACAGAGAGAGAGAGAGTGAGAGCAGGAACACAAGCAGGGGGTGTCAGAGAGGGAGAAGCAGGCTTCCTGCGGAGCAGGAAGCTCGATCCCAGGGCTCGGTGTGGGGCTCGATCCCAGGACCCTGGGATCATGACCTGAGCAGAAGGCAGACGCTTAACCGACTGAGCCACCCAGGCGCTCCCAAATTTGCGTTGTTTAAGCCACTCAGGCTGTGGTATTTTGTTATGACAGAACTAGCAAATGAATGCAGGCAGACTCATCTGCAACTGAGTTACGGGCTGTCAGGCTAGCCTCCAGGAAGATCCACAGCATGAATCCCAACAACCGATGTACTCAACTTTAGAATGGCTGCACTTCAACGCCTTTTCATCAAGAGAGAGGATTAAGTTATGCATAACTAAGTTAGAAAGGACTTTCTTTGAAAGAATGGCTTTCCTATCTTCTAATGCATTACTAATTCTTCGTGTCACTAAATCGTGTATTCTCAAATGTTTGCTTTTTGACAACTCAGAATACTGCTTATATATAAGCAAAGTGTAATCAATACCTGCTTGCATGTTGAATTAGAGAAGTGGGTTTCTAGTAACCTGACATTCTTTATACATATATAGAGACTTATATATTCTTTAAATTCTTTTCTTTACATATAAATTATTTATATACACAAATATACACATATATATTCCCCTCTCCCCCCATAAATGGTTTGGCATTGAGGTAAGAAAACCAGAGATGACCCCTTTAATCATGTAAACACAGTCTTAACAGATTTACACTCTTGTTTGTTTCTCCTATTAGACTCCCTCAAGAGCTTGACACAGACTAAGCACTTGATGTTTGCTGAATGTGTGAAACCTCAGTGCAGTAACAGGACAGAACTGTAAAACTGCTTTAGGAAAATGCTAAGCATCTGAAAGCAAGGCAGGAAGTGCTCTACAGAAAAATGTCACAGCTGACATATTAAATAAGGATGGCTATGTACGTCATCAAATTCCAAATGATTTTATAAAGGGACAGATAACTTAATCTAATGATCGTGTGGGTGGGGGGAAAGGTGCTCACCTAAGTAACTTTAGAAAACAGTGCTGTGACCAGGAACTATGACACCAAAGATAAAGGACTGTATGTAAAAACTGTACTCCTGTTGGTAAAGTTGTTTCTCATGGGGGTCCTGGTTACCAATTCTGAAACTGCCGAATGTGTTATGCTGGGATTGAATAAGTAAATGGACAGTAAATGGTGGGAGCCAGGTTTCTCACTGTTGGAGAAGGAGGTTACTGATACGCAAGAAGAGGAAACTAGAATGATCTACGTATTAATGGATTAGTCCACTGGATTAGTCAGAGACATTGATAACTCATATTTAATTAAATATCGATAGTTACAGATACTTATAATTTGTATGTACCGATATTAGCATATACACATTTATTTCTTTGCTCTGCCAGCTGAGAAAGCCTAAGAGAAATGACACCTGGTAGCAATGAGCACATCTACCACCCAGATTGTGGTTTCTAATACCCTTCTCCAATAGAAGGAACCAGGGTTCCTTGATTAAATGGTTGGGGCAGAAAATATATAAGATGAGCCTGGAGCATCTTAGAGTTATAGAAGTAAAGAAATGCTCAAAAAAAAAAAAAAAGGGATGTCAACTGGACACAGAAGCCATCTTGAAAGATTCTTAATCGTTAGGGGCTGGAACAAATTGAACAACAAAATAATAGAGTATTGGTTTAAAACTCACAAAGCATAAAATAAATCCAAGCCCATGGTAACATAAATAAAGGGTTGAGTTAATAAATAAATGAGGGAGAAGACACCTATGTCCCGCAAATAACAATGCCAAATAAGTTGCATAGCTACTTGCCCCTTGAGGAGGTGGGCCTTAACTCCTCTCCACCCTTTGAGTTTGGGCTGTGCTTAGTGATTCATTTCCAAAGAGCAGATTTATAGAAAGAAAGAAAAATAAATAAAACTCTATAGTGGAGAAACCTGACAAACACTAGATAGTATGTATCCTTAATGTGATGTAATGAAAAGAGCAATTCACCTCTGTGGTCTTTCTCCCAAAGTCCATAAACCCAGTCAAATCATGAGGAAAAACATCAGACAAACCCAGGGACATTCAACAAAATACTTGACCAGTACTTCTCAAAACTATTGTGGTTATCAAAAGCATGAAAAATCTGAAAAACCGTAATGACTAAGGAGACCTGACAACCACATGTAATATCATATCCTGGATGAGATCCCAGAACAGAAAAAGGACATTAGGTTAAAAACTAGTGAAATCTGAATAAAGCATACAGTTTAGTTAGTAGTAATGTACCAATGTTGGTTTTTTAATGTGAAAAATGTACCACAGTAATGTAAGACGTTAACAACAGAGAAAGTGGTACAGGAGATAGATGACCTCTTTGCAAAGTTTCCTGAAAATCTTAAACTATTCTTTTTCTTTAAAAAAGATTTATTTATTTGAGGGTGGGGAGAAGGGGCAGAGAGAATCTCTAGCAGACTCCACTCCGAGCGCAGCGGAGCCCGATGTAAGGCTCGATCCCATGACCCCAAGATCATGACCTGAGCCAAAATCAAGTCAGGCGCTTAACCGACTGAGCCACCCAGGCGCCCCTTAATGTTCTAAAATAAAATGTTTATTTAAATTAAGAAAGCATAATATGACTAAATGCAATATGGTATTCTGTATTGGATCTTAGAACTGAAAAAGGACACTAGTGGAAAAACTGGTGCAGTTTGAATAGTCTGGACTTTACTTAATAGTAATGTACCAGGGTTGGTTTCTTAGTTTTGACTAATGCACCAAGGTAATCTAAGATGTTAACATTAGGGGAAACTGAGAAAGGAGTATATGGGAATTCTGTATTATCTTGCAACTTTTTTGTAAATCTAAAGTTATTCCAAAATAAAAATTTTATTTAAAAGAAAGTAATGCAGGGTAGCCGGATTTATGAGCAAACTATCTGCTTGGACCACCCTAGTAACTTACATGATGGCATTTGGGACCCTGCGATAGATCTTTCCCTTCATGTTTACACTTCCACCTCCCTCGACCCTGCTGCATCAACCTGAATGTATTTCATGTGCATAAATCTATGCCAGAAAAGTGCCTGTGGTTAACAAGCGGAGCCTGGGTTCCCCAGGAGCACAGATGACTCAAATCTAGAGAACAAAACAAAACAGGCAAAGCTTCAGAACCGAAGGGAAGAGGAGAACAGTTGAGGGGAGGGGTCTATTAAGCTGGAGTTAGCTCAAAGCAAAAGACAGTTAAGATTTTTGGGGGAAATAAGACAAAGATTTCAGGCTGGGAGGAGAGGACCAGAGACCAGGGAAAATGTTGCCACAGAGGGTACTCCATTTTCTCTGCCTTACCTCTGGCTTACTTATAAACTCTGTTGCCCATATTATGCTTGCTGCTGGTAATATCAGATGAACAAAGGTTGGCCTGAGATCAAGTGGCTGCCATGAGTTACTAGGAAGGGTGGAGCAGACAGGGGTTAGGGTGAGAAGGGGCATTTCTAGGGCCACAGCCACAAGACAGTTCCAAGTCTCTTACTTGTTTCTGTGAGCATCTTTCTCCGCCAGACTGTGAGCTCTTCTGGCACAGGATGTTGCCTTATTCTTCTCTAGTCCCGGCAGCGCTCTGTATATAGTAGGTGTTCAATAAACATCTGCTTAATGAATAAGTCAGAGAGCTAGAAACCAGTAAAACTGGAAAGGCTTTTCTTTTGAGAAGTTATGGGGAAACATTAAATCCCAAATAGGTCTTTACCTTGAATCCTCATAGTAATTGAAGTTATTTAAAAATATTCTAACCCTTGGAAAAGACTGTTTTTAATTAAAAATAACTGAAATGCTTAAAAAAATATTCTGATGATTTTTTTCCACGAGTGGGGATATCTGCCCTCTGATTCTCAAAATTACACAACTGAAATCAGGATCTGAGGGATAATATATTGTTAAACATATATTTCAAAGAATAAAAAGTCACTGCCCAGCTGTACCATTTGAAGATCAGAGAAAGTGGCATGATAAATTATGTTGAGTCATTAATATTTTAATTCCAATTAAGGTAAATGAGAGGGAAAAAAAAGCCCAAAATGACTTTTCAAAGAGCTTTTAATACACAGAAGGAAAAATTGGAAAATAAGAGAATATGGTTACTTTTTTTTCAAAAGCTAGGTTTATTCACTTTGATTGTTCACTGCTCTAAGATGGTAAGATTGTACTTAACTTTTTTTTTTTTTAAAGATTTTATTTATTTATTTGACGCAGAGAGAGAGACAGCTGGAGGGAACACAAGCAGGGGGAGTGGGAGAGGGAGAAGCAGGCTTCCCGACGAGCAGGGAACCCGATGCGGGGCTCGATCTCAGGACCCTGGGATCATGACCTGAGCCGAAGGCAGATGCCCAACGACTGAGCCACCCAGGCGCCCCTTAACTTTTTTTTTTTAACTATTAAAATGTTCTCTTTTCTGAAGAGGTGATGGTAGATGGTTTAAAGTGTCAAGTTGGCAAAAAAAAAAAAAAAAAAAAGGTTGGGGCCTTATGTCAATCCCTAAAAGGCTATTCATCCATGAAATCTCAGATGTCTAGAAAGCACTTCTATATACTTTTTTATCGGGGAAGAGGGTCTAGAGGGCACCCAGGGATTTGGGAAAGGCAGTGAGAAATGTACATTTGTTGAGAACACCTACCTGCTAGGCACCAAGCTTTATACATACATGATTTCTCAGTAAATCTTTATAATTTCAGTTAGGTGTTCTCATATTATACATAAGGAAATGGAAATTAATATAGGATAAATAACTTATCCAAGGAATGTACTAATAGAGGGAGCGAAATCTAAGTTTATCTGATTCTACAATCTGTGCTTTCTTCCACACCACTTATTATAGTGAGTTTCTAATACTCATTTTAGGGAGAAATATTAATCAGTTTTTCTTAGTATACACCTTGATGCTATGTTTTCAAATTCACCTTCGGACTTGTAAATCTGCGTGATAGCAAACATTTTAAAAACTAAACTTAGAAATGTTAGTATTATTCTCTCAAACTTGCATCCCAACTATTTTTTGCCTTTTGGTTCCAGAAACCGCATAAAACCTATCAGGAAATATTCATATGGCAATGCCCCAATTATCCACAATTGAAATGATTAGCACCACAGCAGACTGTAAGTCTTCAGGCAGAAGTCATTGATAGCCAAGCTGCCTCAAAAAGTTGAAGACATCAAATTCTCTGAAACACTAGATCAATCCATTTGCCAGCCAGATCTTGAGACTAAAGAAACGGACTGGTTACAGAGCCAATGGCTTAACAACTCCATGTGTCAGGTAGAGTACAGAAGAGCGAGCAGAAAGGGGGGAGAGCACAGCACTGGCAAGAGGAGGAAAGCAGCATAGGGGTGAAACCAAGGCAAACAATATGTAATGAAGTAGAATATCCAGAACACTCCAAGACCATGCCGATTAATAAGGATATGATCATGGCTTCCCACCTTCTCACTCAGATACCGAAAACAAATGCAGTAAAGAACACATAAGCACACAGATGAACTCTTAGCAGTGTTCATTTTAGAATTAGAAAAAAATTTTTTCTTAAAGGCACGTGGCTAATGCATTATAACTTAGAGGTCCAAAATCTGGTCTTCTGCTTGCTAAAAATCAAAGTATGAAACAAGACTTTGTTTTTCTTACATTCTTCAGTTTACCAAAGTCATGTGAAAATAAAGTCACATATTTAACAAGTGTTTGGCGACCAACTTTTAATAATACATATTCAATTTTCAGAAACATATGCTAACCATCAACAACATGATCAGGGTTCCATTGCCCCTGACGTTATTTCATTGGTATATTATATCAGTATTTACAAAGGCTTTCAAATTCAACAACACAAAACAAAACAGCTTAATTTTTAAAACTACAATGCTTTTAAAAAAATGTAAACAGTTCATTTTTACATTGTTGTAAAAAAGAAGACTCACTCCTTAATGTGGCTTAATTTTTTTAAGTGAGCAAAGCCTGGTGCTCATGGATAAAGAATGAAAGGAATTCTTTACATAGAAACATTGTGCTCCAGTGTGGCAAAAAAAGAAAGAAAAAAGAAAAGAAAAAAAAAAGGGAGAAAGAAAAGAAAGAAAGGTTATATATATACATACAAAGAAAAGAATCTTAAGCCCACAATTTAGACTACAAAAAAAAAAAAATCTTGTCCCCAAATTGAGAAATTTATAAAAACCATTTACACATGGTTGTTGACCTATTGAAAACCTGTATAACATTTTCAAAACAGTAACTCAGTCAATACCACTTTTCTGAAAAATGAAGTTTTGTGCAAAAGAAATCGTTTAAGCTAGAAACAAGACTCCCCCCCTCCCTGTAAGAGGCCAAAAGGGCCACTGAAATAATTTAACTCTGTTAGATTTAGTGCATGTAACCAAAAGGCACACACATGTGATTAATATATTAATATATTTTCATGCAGAAACCTGTGCATGTTCACAATTACATAACAAAAACACAAATATAACAAAACATAAAGCCTAACATTTGGCAATGTTATTCTAGCCACATTTCTGTCTATCAGTCCACGGTTTATAGATCATTAACACTGCCGCTCAAAAAATATATTATATTTGAACAATTTCCAGTAAAAATTAAAAAAAAAAAAAAGGATGTTAGCCTGAAACACTATAATATACTTTTTTCAGTTCTAATACATATAGAAACTTACTGATATTTTTATTTTAAATGTCATTTCAAATTAAGATACATTTTTCCTTTTGTTAATAAACACTTTGATTGCTCCAGTGAAGTCAGCAGAAAGAAGAACTTCTGTATTATCTGTCTTCATAATACCTTAAAAGCATAAAAAAAAGTTTTTAAGTTGAATATAAAGCCTGCTGTTGTGTCACATGCCAATGATCCTACACCTTTTCCCCAGTTTTCAGTCCCCGCCCCCAAGATTTTTTTCTAAGTAATCTCTACACCCAAAGTGGGGCTCAAACTCACAACTCCAAGATCAAGAGTCGCACGCTCCCCTGACCAAGCCAGCCAGGTGCCCCTCAGTTTCTTTTTTCCAGCTTGCTCCTGTAATCCTTTCATTCTCCTGTACTCTCCTCCTCTCTGAGGCTTACTTCCACTTACCGTGTCTTAGCCGGTCTTTCCCTGGCTTGGGGAGTTTGTGGCAAGAAGAAAAGGACACTACTTTCATTTGGTTTAATTTGTTTGTTCAACACATGCTTATTAGGACCAACTGTATGCGGGCAAGCACTGGCATTACAACAATATATAGGACATAATAAGTCTCCGTCCTCAGAATGACAGTCTATGAGAAGACAGATAATAAAGAATTTTTTTTTTAAAGATTTTTATTTTTTTATTTATTTGAGACAGAATGAGAGACAGAGAGCATGAGAGGGGAGGAGGGTCAGAGGGAGAAGCAGACTCCCTGCCGAGCAGGGAGCCCGATGCGGGACTCGATCCCGGGACTCCAGGATCATGACCTGAGCCGAAGGCAGTCGCTTAACCAACTGAGCCACCCAGGCGCCCCAAGAAATTTTGTATTTGTATGTCTTGTTTGCATTTCTCCAAGGGAACAACTGCCCATAAAAAAATGAACTTTTGGGGCGCCTGCGTGGCTCAGTCGATTTAAGCATCTGCCTTCAGCTCAGGTCATGATGGGATCAAGTCCCGTGTTGGGCTCCCTGCTCAGCGGGAGTCTGCTTCTCCCTCTACCCTTCCTCCCCTGCTCATGATCTCTCTCTCTCAAATAAAATCTTAAAAAAAAAAAAATAATAATGGGGGTACCTGGGTGGCTCAGTTGGTTAAGTGTCTGCCTTCGGCTCAGGTCATGATCCCAGGGTCCTGGGATGGAACACTCATCAGGCTCCCTGCTCAGCGGGGAGTCTGTTTCTCCCTCTGCCTCCCCCCACCCCCACTTGTGCTCTCTCTCAAATAAATAAATAAAATCTTAAAAAAAAAAATGAACTTTCAAAATTTTCATTTTTAATTCGAAGGTAGATTTAAATGAAGTAAAACTCGCAAGAAATAGGTTACTGAAATGTTTAGAAAGGGATACTCACAACAATTATGTTGTAAAGAAGAAATATTCTTCATACACATGAAAACCTCACAATACCCAATGAAGGTCAATGAGGCTACTAAGTGCTGACTAGAAAAAAGGTAGGTCAAATAAAATATGAGTACCTACCAGAGGGCATGGTATCCAAAACTTCAGCATCTTCACCTTTTTCACTCCCTTCTGATTTTTCAGATTGTATATCCAAAGACAACATCAAACTTGGGTTTGGAGCAAAGATGGCCGATGTAACAACGGCATTATGTGCTGGGGAAAAAAAAATTTTACTTCAGGATAACTAATAAATTTGATTCTAAACATCAAGACAGAAAGTATCATATGCAAAAAATACAAGAGTGTATGTTATAAGCTAATGCCCTTTAAAATGAACACATAAGTAATTAAGAACTATTTAAAATCCAAAAATTTATGCTAAAAAAAAAATATATTACATACAGGCATACCTCAGAGATATTGCAGGTTTTGTTCCAGATCATTGTAAAAAAGCGGATATTGCAATAAAGTCAAATGAATTTTTGTTTCCCAGTGCATGTATAAAAATTATGTCTATGCGATGCTGTAGTCAATTAGTGTGCAATAGAATTCGGTCTACAAAAACAATGTACACTCCTTAATTAAAATGAGGCATGCCTGTACAAGTTCTTCCTTGGTACAGAAAAATCAAAGCCAAATACAAAGCAAGAGTGGTTATAACTGCCAAACTGTCTGTCTGAAATAATGCCTATACAAATTTACTTGTAATACATCTCCACATTAACTTTATTCACTTAGAAGACACACAGAAGGGGGCATTTACTTACCTTTAATACCTTCCCAAAAATCATTACGATCTCTCCTGACTGAAGTAAACTTGCTGAGATCATGGTAAGTACTCCAGATATAAACATACTTATCTTCTGAGCCACTAACGAGGTAACTAAAATCATGGCTAAATTTGGGAAAGAAAGAAAAAAAAAAAAAATCAGTTTGGGGATTTTTTTTTTTTTTTTTTTTAGGTTTCCCTCTATCAGCGCTTCCTACTTTATTTTTTTATTTTTTTAAAGATTTTATTTATTTATTTGAGAGAGCGAGAATGAGAGACAGAGAGCATGAGAGGGAGGAGGGTCAGAGGGAGAAGCAGACTCCCCGCCGAGCAGGGAGCCCGATGCGGGACTCGATCCTGGGACTCCAGGATCATGACCTGAGCCAAAGGCAGTTGCTTAACCAACTGAGCCACCCAGGCGCCCCAGCGCTTCCTACTTTAAAATACATAAGGAAACACCCAAGAGAGCTTGTTGACATATAGACTCCTAGTCTCACTCCCGAGGTTCTGAACATGCAGGCCTGACATGGAGCCCAGAGGCACAAGGATTTTCATTAAAGCTGTAGATAACTGTGCTGCTAGTTAACCCACACAGGGAGAAACACCTACTTAAGAGATTAAAGAGAGAAGCAGAACACGTTACCAATTAAATTTCTCGGTAATTACTGGGTAATTCAAGAAGAAAGGAGAACCGTTAAGAAAAGGGCTGAGGAAAGAGGGTTATAAGGAAGAAGAGGCAGTTATTTCAGGAGAGCCTCCAGACCCCAAATTAAGAATTCAAATAATAATGTTATGTAAAGGTGTAAATACAGGATACTGTACTTTAGGGTGTTAAAATGCTTTATTAGCTTCAGTACCTAAAAGGATAAAGACCATGGGTGGGTGGCAGGTAAGTTTCCTCTTAGAAAGCTGACATAGAAGTACAAAAGCATGAATGCCGGAGAGCCGGGAGTGAGTCTTCTAATCCCAACTCTGCAACTACCAGTGATTTTAGACAAATTACTTCATTTTCTGAGTCTTGGTTTCTTTGTCTGCAGAATAGGGGCAATTCCAACTCTGTCTACTAAACAGGTGGATAAGGTAAGTACTGCATGATGATAACATAACATGAGCAATCAGTTGTAAAAGTGCAAAGAAACGAAAAACACCCTATAAACATAAGGCATAGATCAAAGAAAATATGGGAGTAGAGGAGAAATATTCTGATCTCTTTTGGGAATTTCTCATTGTCAATTTACCTGAAACTTGCTTTGATCTGGCTGCTACTGTTGACATAACCCTTATACTTCATGGACAGTGACAAATCTCTAAGATCATATAGTCTGATTCTGGAGTCATTTGAGGTTACCAGTATCTAAAAAGAAATCAAAAGAAAAGTTAAAAATACCATCTTTTTATCTAAGTTAAAGTATAATCAGAAAGGGTATTACACACACAGAGAGAATATACCTCAAAACTAGAAAAGGCTGTATTCCACATGAGAGAAAATATATTCTTAAGCCAAGACAGTAAGAATTTTCGGGAGTCTATCTATAGCGTAAAGAGAGATGGTTTTGAATACTTAGTACCTTATTTTCTCCGGGTAAAGGTTCAATGCCAGTAATTTTTCTTCCAACTTTGTTGCGTCCTCTGGTAGATCGGACATGTATTTGTGTGTGGTATTTCAAATGCTAAAAAGAAATCACAAATTTAAAATATGAGAATTAGAAGGAACCTCAAAGATCATCTGATCCAACTTGCAGACAGGCATAGTATTATTTGCCCCAATTTGTAATGCCCAGAGAGGATACACCAACTTATATGAAACTGCTAAGTATTCCATTATGTAATTTACACAAGATAATCATTTACCTCTGTATCATAGAAAATACATCTGCCATCGTATGTCCCAATCACGGCGTATTTGCCATTCTGACAGAAATTTGCAGCTGTGATCAATTTTGTTTGACCATCTACTTCATTCCACAAAGCGACTTTTTTGTCAGGTATGTTCCAAAGACGGAGCTTTCCATCCAATGACCCACTTAGAAAATACCTGTCATCCTAAAAATGTTGCAAAAGAGAAAGCTCTCATTTTACCAAATCAAGAAAAATTCATTAGCAAATCAAAACATAAAGCCCATTAGAAATAATGTTTAAAATATGTAGATCCCATTTATGAAATATTCTTCTTCAAGATTTTATTTTTAAGTAATCTCTATACCCAACGTGGGGCCTGAACTCACAACCCCAAGGAGATCAAGAGTCACATGCTCTACCGATGGAGCCAGCCAGGCACCCCCAAGCAAGCATTATTTTATTCATGAAAAATAACAATTAGAAACTTCAGTATTCACTCTGGAAAAATGACTTTCTAATTACTTTATCATATCCTTAAACTGCTTTTCCCAAGGTATGGATGTTAATGGATAATGTGTTGGAGAATGGTTGTGTAGGAGAATGGTTCAAGTAAGTTTGAGAGATTCTGGGTTACAGAAAGTTAAAGAGGATTCTCACTTAACATGCATTCTCAATCTCCAAAAGAGGAATAAAGTAGGTAGCATTTTCCAACTTATATAACCAGGGACCTTTTTGGGGGGCGGGGGGTGGGTGCTGTGGTTGGGAGGGAATCGGTAAGAACACTTAGCAGGGCTAGCACCTTCAAGGAACATGCTTTGGGAAAAGCTATCCTGTAATGATACGTTTATCCATATCTTCCTCTGGGATCCACGTAATACTTGGATAAAAGACTAATGTGGATTAGCCCACAGAACCAGTTATTTTGTGGGAATTTTGACATCATGCCAGTAGGAAATTGCTTCAATATTCAAATTCTCAATCCCAAAGCAGGGGTTTATCAACAGGGGGCAAGTTGGCCCCACAGGGGACATCTAGCAAAGTCTGGAGACATTTTTGACTATCACAACTGGGGGTGGGATGTTACTGGCATCTAGTGGGTAGAGAACAAGAACCCTGTTAAACATTCTGCAATGCACAGGACAGACTTTATTCTCTTTACAACAAAGAATTATCCAGCTCAAAATGTCAACAGTACAAGGGTGAGAAACCCTGCTATACACTAAACCAGGCATACCACTAAGCTGGTCTAATTTTTTTAATTGAGATATCATTGACAGACAATGTTATATTAGTTTCAGGTATATAACATAATGATTCAATATTTGTATATGTTGCAAAAATGATCACCTAAGCTGGTCTAATTTTTGATAACATAAGAATTAAGAGTAAGGACGCCTGGGTGGCTCAGTTGGTTAAGCAACTATCTTCGGCTCAGGTCATGATCCTGGAGTACCAGGATCGAGTCCCGGGATCGAGCCCCGGGATCGAGCCCCACATCTGAGTCCTGCATGCATCCAAGTCCTACATGTCCCACATCCCAAATCTTCTGCATCCTGAATCTCCCGCAGCAGGGAGCTTGCTTCTCCCTCTGACCCTCCCCCTTCTCATGCTCTTTCTCAAATAAATAAATAAAATCTTAAAAAAAAAAAAAAAAAGAATTAAGAGTAAAATAATTGGGGTGCCAAAACAAGAAGAAGCATTCCCTTCTCTGCTCAAGACTATCATTCTTCCTCACCTCTGAAGCTTCTCAAGGACAGCCTACACAGAAAGGACATTCTTATGGCTATGGTGTAGTAGGTTCTACTTAATGATTACCAGAAGAAGAGCAGAACAAGTAAAAATAACTTCATGTTGGTCTTACAATTCAGATTTTTATTTACATACATGCATACGTGTGTGTGTATGTATTATCTTCATTTTGCTATTTCTTTTGTAATTCTGCTTCCTTCCTTCTGGATAACATTATTTAATAGAGTCATGTTTCCTAAGAAAACGTTAACACCACACCATTCTTTCCTAGCCCCTCTTAAAAATCCTTCGGATCTACAGAATTTTAGAATTAGGGCTTTTCAGTTTCCAAAATAAAACCAAATATAAGTATAGAAAAACTACTGACAAAACAGGAACCTTAATAATAAAGTACTACATAGATAACTATCACAACCTAATACCTCTCTCCACCCTGACACATTATAGTTAAAACAGAGGTGAGGGAAGGATTTTGCTCACAGTTGCTGACAGGAGTAAAGCCATTCTTTTGCTGCATCCTTGGCTGACAGGATGGGAGTGTTATTCAGAAAGAAGCCTCAAAAAGCTTGATGGTCAAAACTGATAAGGTATCAGCATAGATTAAGCATTTTTAATTTGCCAAAGTTAGTAACCAAAGTCTCCTAAGGGTTCACAATTACTGTCTATATTATAAGCCTGCCCAGGGAGGAAAATTATATTGAGGGCGGAAAAAATGTCATTCTTCTCTCTTAATCTGGGGAAAAAGAGGAAGAAATGTGACTATAACTAAAATGTTGCATTAACATGGCAGTGGGTGTTTAACATACAGAGATAAGGACATGAATAGAAATAGGATTTATGCAACAACATGGGGGAGGGTAAGACAGGTCAGCTCAAGTCCTCCACTTATTTCAACCTAGCTAGTGGAGCAGCACCAGCATGGGATTTCTCTTGCGCTTATAGTTAAAGAGCAAAAATTAATTTAGCCTTACTCATTTGGTGGCTCTATCCTACAAGAACATAAGATAGGTCAGCAATTCCAAGATGAATTTTCATCCTTTGGTTGAAATTATATGAAACACTTCCTTTTCAGAGGAAAGATATTGAGGGATTTTCTACATTGAAAACTAATTAAGATGGATCTCATGATTAACAATATTTCCAGGGGTGCCTGGCTGGTTTAGTCAGTAGAGCGTGTGACTCTTGATCTTGGGGTTGTGAGTTCAAGCCCCACATTCGGTGCAGAGCTCACTAAAACAAAACAAAAAAACAAAACAAATAAAAAACCCACAACACCCCCCAAAACCAAAAAAAAAACCCCAAAACAGTATTTCCATTTCCAGACATTAAATAGGAATTCAGTATACCTTGTAATGAATTTTGGTCTTTGCCTCTTTCAACCTTTCCATCTTTTGTCTCTTCCCACCCCGACCCTCCCACTATTCTTGCCTATATGCTTCCCTATCTTATTTATCCACCTGCTGTCTCCTCTTCTTCCATCTCCAACCTCTCATCTTTACTATGATACATTATTTTATTTATACCCTGCACATCTTATTAAAGATTTGGGATGGCTTTTCATTCTTAGAGTTAGACTATAACATTTCCAGTTCTAATACAGATTAGCAGAATATTTCCTTTTCTCTTTAAGTAGGCTACACGCCTGTAGCCCAATGCAGGGCCTTAAACTCACAAACTGGAGATCAAGACCCAAGCTGAGATCAAGAGTCAGATGCTTAAGGGGCTCCTGGGTGGCTCAGTTGGTTGAGCATCTGACTCTTGGTTTCAGCTCAGGTCACAATCTCAGGACTGTGAGATTGAGCTGCACATTGTCCGGCTCTGTGCTCAGCGGGGAGTCTGCTGGAGAGTCTCTCTCTCCCTCTCCCCTCCCCCCACTCGCGCTCATGTATCTCTCTCTCTCTCAAAATAAATAAATCACTCTTAAAAAAAAAATGAGGGGCGCCTGGGTGGCTCGGTCAGTTAAGATTTCAACTCTTTTTTTTTCCTTTTTTTAAAAGATTTTATTTATTTATTTGACAGAGAGAGAGACACAGCGAGAGAGGGAACACAAGCGGGGGGGTGGGAGAGGGAGAAGCAGGCTCCCCGCTGAGCAGGGAGCCCGATGCGGGGCTCGATCCTAGGACCCTAGGATCATGATCTGAGCCGAAGGCAGACGCTTAACGACTGAGCCACCCAGGCGCCCCAAGAGTCCAACTCTTGATCTCAGCTCAGGTCTTGATCTCAGGGTCATGAGTTCAAGCCCCGCACTGGGCTCCATGCTGGGTGTGGAGCCTACTTTAAAATAAATACATACATAAATACATACATAAGTAAAGTGAAAGACTAAATTAAGTTGTTCTTTTTTTTTTTTTTTTAAAGATTTTATTTATTTATTTATTTGAGAGAGAGAATGAGAGAGAGAGCACAGGAGAGGGGGGAGGGTCAGAGGGAGAAGCAGACTCCCTGCCGAGCAGGGAGCCCGATGCGGGACTCGATCCAGGGACTCCACGATCATGACCTGAGCCGAAGGCAGTCGCTTAACCAACTGAGCCACCCAGGCGCCCTAAGTTGTGCTTGACTATGTGCTGTTAATTTTTTTTCCTGTAGTCCTATGGCCCTCCAGAGAAGCCAGGTTCCTTCACCTTCCTTACAGTCTAATAAAAAATATATAAACAATTACTTACTCTTGGATGGAAAGCTATGGCAGTGACAAAATCTATATGTTGAAAACAGCAAAGGCATTCTCTTCTGGAAATGTGCCATAACCTGACCGTTTTATCCATCGAAGAAGAAAGCAGGAAGTAGTTCTATAGAGAAATTGACATTGATCATTTTATCACCCTATGAAAACACACTACTTGCGCAATAAAAGCAAACTTTCAGTTCTTTCAGTATCTCAACAGTTTTGTTACTCTTGTTATACCTAGCATCAGAAAGAACAAAAAGATTATCCAATTCACTTGGAAGACTGCATTTTTTCCCAGTTACATACCATATTTCTTTGATTCTAAGACTTCTTTTATATTACCTGTTCTAAATTTAGGATAATCTTATGATCTAGGTCAAAAGAAATCCGCTAAGCACCAAGAGAGGACAACTAAGGTGTGTCTTAGTTTTTATAGTCCCCATATACTGAAACTAGGTTATGAATATAAGGCACCCATTCATTTGATTGTCACTTCAGTTCAGTTATTCTGACATTGGCAACACTGGTGAATTTTAACTCACACAAATTCCCTAATTGTCACTTAAAATGCCTTCAAAAAGATTATCCTATAATGCAGCATGGAAATGAAAAGTTATTGTGCACCTGTCACATCCAAGGCAAGAAAATGAGAGAAGAGAAATCATCAAACATCTCAGAATACGTCATAGAATTTTCAAAAGCTAGAAGAGGGTAGTGTAACTGCTTTAGGCACTGTGATGGCCCATGACCCAGGAACCAAACATCTATCTGTCAAAAGTTTCCAGCTGGCAGAAGTTCTTTAACTTTTCAGCATAATCTATTTAAGGAGAACTATGAGTTATATTGAATGGGGAAACACAAATGAGACCCCCAGTATTCTTTGTTATGCCTAAAGGTGATAAACAAATCAAAGCAATGATGACAGTTATTGAGTACTTGCAATGTGCTAAAAATTGTTCTTAACACTATCCTATGAGGTAGGTACATTATTATCCCCTTTTACAAATGAGAACACTGAGGCACAAAGATGTTAAATACTAAGTGCAAATATCGATTTGGATATGTTGCTGCACTGATAAATATATGATATTTGGGGCTAGTTGTAAAAGCATGTTTTATGTGGTATACCTGCTTTTAATTAATTAATTAGAGCGAGAGAGAGTGCTCATGTGTGCTGCCTGTGTACATGGGGGGAGGAGCAGAGGGAGAGGGAAAGAATCCTCAAGCAGACTCTCAGCTGACAAAGGGCTCAATCCCAGGACCCTGATTACTGAAAAATGTTGACACAAAGGCAGTGTACAGTATTATGCAGGAATTTCAAACACTGCTTCATGCTTCAAATGCCTTAAATAAAATTTAAAGTATCTCTTTAAATTTCTGCAAAACTGCTAAGATATTTGTTCGGTGGCAAAACAGGCCCTCTACTTCTGAAATAATTTTGCTCTAAGGGGAAAAAAAACAAAGTGATGACTTATCAAAGAGTCATATATTGTTAAACTTAATGATTTAATAAATATAGGAGATTAGCCAAAGCAGTCTTGATTATATAGATCAGACTTCAGCACTGTAGCTGAAGTCATATCCATTATGCAAGAATAGGTTACTCTGCAAAATTACTTTATAAAGAAGCAAAAGGTACAAGTATATAGACAGATCCAGACAGAAGCTGTTAATATAAACATTTTATTAGTCTAACTTGATGTTGCTCCTCTTTTAACCGATTACTTTGTAGCTAACTCCCATGAAGTATATATAACCATTCAAACACTTGAAAAACAAAACATTTGTTTTTATCCTAAAGTCATAGTTACGTAGAATTAATACACTCTTCAAGTAAGAATTTCTTACTTTAGACCATGAAAGATCAAGGAGATCAGCGGTGTGTCCTTTATATTTGCAAAACGGCCGCTGCCGAAATGGTGCATTTTTATCATCAGGGTCTTCATCAGCTCCACTGCATACCTATTTAGATACAAAGACAAATGTTAAAACTAGAAAAACAAAAGCTTCATACTCTTCCCACCCCATCAATTCTCTCCTCATTTTGTATGCTGCCTGACTGAAATCTTGATCTACCAAAAACAAACTCCCCTTTACGATGAATCTACAACTTATCACTCATTCACCTCCTTGTTCCAATAAACCAGGATCATCCCTGAAGACTGTGCGATCACAATCTTTCCCTCCCTAACAAAGCTCCTACTTTGTCCTTTTCTGAGCATTTGCTCCTTCCGGAGGGGTGGGAGCCAGCACCAGGGGGTGAATCATGATTGGTCTGAGCTAATCAAAAGGAGCTCATTCCCTTTCCCAGTGATGATTGGTTTAGGCAGGGGCATAATTTTTTTCAATTAGACATGACAGAAAGTTTATTGGGGTGTGGGGCATGGAGACAGGGGAGAGGCTTCCAGAAAGATTTCCTCACTCTTAAAAAGGGGCATACTACAGGGATGTTCTTCTTTCCTTCCTCTGAACATTGCTGTCTGTGTGACACCTAAGATTAGTTGCCATCTTACTACCATGAGGGGAACAGACCTAAGAACAACAGACAAAGAAGAGCAAAGCAGGAGGCTGGCAGAACCCTGTGTCCCTGATGACACTACTGAGCTGCTGAATTAACCAACCCTGGAACCGCCTTACCTCCAGACTTGCTTCCTCATTGTTTAAGCCATTTTCAGTTGGATTTCTGTTATTTGAAGTCAAAAGCATCCTGACAGAGGTAGGTAGAAAATAATGCCATACGTGTGTGCCATGCATTTAGTTTACAACATGTTTTTGTATTCATTATCTGAATGAATCCTAACAACTCTGTCAGGTAGGTAGTAACATTATGGAGATGAAGAAATTAAGAAAAACACCTGAGACTCAAAGAGATCAAAATAACATATTAAAGCTCACACAGCCACCTGTAAACAGCAGAACCAAAGCAGAAACACAACTCTAAGTCCAAAGACTGTCCCTCAAACGTTTTAGAGAACGTAGCATGAGCAAAAATACGGAGCTGTTAGCTAATAAGTCCTGCATATTTAAGGAAGGATAGGTAGGATGATGGGGACCAGGAACAAGGTGTATGGAGATACAGCGGGGGATTAGGGCAGAAAGATACTTTGAGACCAGATCATAAGGGACCTCGCATTTGTGGCTTAAAAGTTCAGATATTATAAGGCAACGGAGAGCCAGCACAGGCCTCTGAAAAGAAAGAACAACACTACGCGACTGGTGCTTTAGAAAGCAAAAGCTAGGCAGTAAGGTAAAAGATGGCAGGGAGAAAGAGCGGAGGCAGAAGAGCAGTCAGTAAGTGTCAATAAGAATAAGGAGGGCTTGAACTAGGCCAGGAGCATGGCACAGGTAAGAAATGCCACTACTATTTGCCTAAAACTTTACAGTGTAGAAAAACATCTTCATATCCACTGTGGAGGCAGAGCAGCTACAAGATGCCCTGACCCTTTGCCAAGCACTCCTAATCCTAGAGGACCACGGCTCGGGCCTCTACTTGGACTCCCAGCCTAGTGAGCACAGCTGCAACACACAAAACTCAACAGGCTTGACCTATTGCATAAAATTCAACCTTTTAATAATCATTTACATTTCACTGAGTCCCCAGCATCATTCCTCTAGCAGTGATTCCAGATCTTATTTTTCTCCTCAAACATCCATGTTCTTCTCCTTGTACTCTATATTTTGTTTCAAAATACTTAAATACATCTTTTTTGATTATAAATACATGGCCAGTGTAGATAATTCAGAAAGCCCAGGAAGTAGAAAAACTAAAATTAAAACAATAATCTGCTAACATTATGACTGCCTTCATCTTTCTTTTTTTTTTTTTTTTTTTAAAGATTTTATTTACTTGACAGAGAGAGACCCAGCGAGAGAGGGAACACAAGCAGGCAGAGTGGGAGAGGGAGGAGCAGACTCTCTGCTGAGCAGGGAGCCCGATGCGGGGCTTGATCCCAGGACTCCGGGATCATGACCTGAGCCGAAGGCAGATGCTTAACGACTAAGCCATCCAGGTGCCCCTTATCTTTCCTTTTTTAAAAAATATTAATTTAAATCACACACGATTCAGTATCTTCCTTTCTATTATACTATGAGCATTTTCAGTAATTCACTCTCTGAAAACATTTACTAGCTGCATATCAATATGCCATAATTTAATCATTCTCCAATTGATTGGTCATTTATAGACACTTCCCATTTTTTGCTAGCATAAACAGCAATTCAATGAACATCCTGGAACATGAATCTTTATGTCTATTTTATTATTTATTTATCCTAATATAAAGGGTATTATGGTCAAAAGGTTTTAAACTTGGAGACTGACAGTATCTTCTGTTATTTGTTTTAATAAAAGCAGGTATGTTTACTAAAGAAAATTTTAGGGGTGCCCTGGGTGGCTCAATTGGTTAAGCATCTGCCTTTGGCTCAGGTCATGATCCTGGGGTCCTGAATCGAGACCCACATCAGGCTCCCTGCTCAGCGGGGAGCCTGCTTCTCCCTCTCTCTCTGCCTGCCGCTCCCCCTGCTTGTGCTCACCCTCTCTCAATCTCTCTCTCTGTCAAATAAATAAGTAAAAATCTTAAAAGAAAAATAAAGAAAATTTTAGAAGTACAGAGAAGTATAAAAGTAAAAAAAAAAAAAAAGACCTAAAATCCCACCACCTAGAGATGACCACTAGTAATAGTATATTTCTTTTCTTGCCCAAAGATTTTATTTTTTTAGTAATCTCTACACACATCGTGGGGCTTGAACTCAGAACCCCAAGAGTCACATGTTCTACTGACTGAGCCAGCCAGGCGCCCCAAATTTAGTGTATTTCTTTGAAATTTTAATCTGTAAATATTTAGATTTTTTAGTCAAAACTGGGATAATATTGTATTCAATTTTTCCATTCTGATTTTTCCACTTCACATTTTATTTTGAATATTTTTAATGTCATTAAATAGTCTTTGAAAACAATTTAAGGACTGCATAGTATTCTACTTCAAGAATTATACCATAGTTTTTATTTTCCAACTATTAAAAATTTTAGTTGTTTAAATTTTAGCTATCGTTAGAATACTAAGATGAAAATCTTTTTATTTACTTCCTCAAGCCTATCTGATTATTTCCTTTTTTCTTCTAAAAGATTTTATTTATTTGAGAGAGAGAGTGTGCGTGCAGGCGCGAGCACGCAGGTGCTCGTGAGCACGAGTGTGGGGAAGGGCAGAGGCAGAGGGAGCAGCAGACTCCCGGCTGAGCAAGGAGCCTTACCTGGTGCCGTATCCCAAGGACCCTGGGATCACCACCTGAGCTAAAGGCAGCCACTTAACCAACTGAGGCTCCTAGGCACCAGTCCTTTTTCTTTTTAAAGTAAGCTCTACACCTAAGGTGGGGCTTCAACTCAGGATCCTGAGATCAAGTGTCCCTTGCTCTACTGACTGAGCCAGCCAGGTACCCCTATCTGATTACTTCTTTATGATAGATTTTTAAAAGTAGATTATTAAAGGTAGAATCACCAAAATGTTATGCATTTTATCTATATGTATACATCTCTATAAACAGATATCTACATCTAGATATAGTTCTATATAAAAATATATATTTATGTCTCTATATAAACATATATACAACTTTATTATGACCATTTCAAATATACACAGAAGTAGAATAATGTAATAAATGGTAGAACAAACCCAGTACATCCATCACCTGCTTTAATGGTTATCAGTATTTTACTCATTTTGTTTTAGCAATTCTCCCACTTTTACGTGTGTGCTTATTTTTGCTGGAGCACTTAAAGCAAGATCTAAACACCATTGATTTTACCAGTAAATAATCTTCATGTATTTCTAACTAATAAGCCCTCTTTTAAATATAACTACTATGCTATTAGCACGCCTAAAGCAGTCATTTTACTTATTTATTTTTTTAAGATTTTATTTATTCATTTGACAGAGAGAGGCACAGCGAGAGAGGGAACAGAAGCAGGGGGAGTGGGAGAGGGAGAAGCAGGCTCCTGCTGAGCAGGGAGCCTAACGTGGGACTCGATCCCAGGACCCTGGGATCATGACCTGAGCTGAAGGCAGACGCTTAACGACTGAGCCACCCAGGCACCCCTAAAAAAAAGTCATTTTAAAGTTGGACTGCTATGAAAGCTTGTAAGCCTTCTGATATTTATTAGCACTGACTATATACCAGATACTGTGTTAGTTATTTGAGATAACAAAATAAATAAGACATTTCTTAGTTTCTAATTATCTAGTCTCAGTATTTAAAAGCCAGAATGAACCTTTTAAAATATGTCAGATTATGTCATTCTCTGTTCAAAGACCCTCCACTGGCTTCCATCTCTCTCAGAGTAAAAGCTGAAGTCCTTGTAATGGCTTACACATTGTTTGCCCCATCCACACCTCTGTGACTTCATTCTTTTCTTTTTTTAGAGAAAGATGGGGGGCAGAGGGAGAGTGAGAGAGAGAATCTTAAGTAAACTCTGCACTAAGCGCAGAGCCTGACACAGGGCTTGATCTCACGACCCTGATATCATGACTTGAACCAAAATCAAGAGTGGGAGGCTTAACCAACTGAGCCACCCACATGCCCCTGTGACTTCACTTTCTACTTTCTCCCTTGCTCACCAGCACTGGCTACTCAGGCCTCAATGCTCTCTCTTTTTTTTTTCGCTCAAGTTTTTTTTTTAATTCTAGTTAGTTAACATACAGTGTTATATTAGTTTCAGGTGCACAATATAAGGATTCAACAATTCCGTATATCACCCAGTAATCATCACAAGTGTACTCCTTAATCCCCATCACCTACTTCACCCATCCCCCCCCATAATGCCATTTCTTTTTTTTTTTTTTAAAGATTTTATTTATTTATTTGACAGAGAGAGACACAGCAAGAGAGGGAACACAAGCAGGGGGAGTGGGAGAGGGAGAAGCAGGCTCCCCGCAGAGCAGGGAGCCCGATGCGGGACTCGATCC